CGAGCTAACCACCAAGAACGGCCAGTGCGACCCCTTCGCTCTCGTCACACTACTCTACTCCAACGGACGGAGGGTCGAGAAGCGCACCAAGCCCAGAAAGAAAACCGTCAATCCGCAGTTTGACGAAATTTTCAGTTTTGATCTCGTTATGGAGGCTGACCCAAAGGACAGAGATGGATCTCAATCGGTAAGTTAAACTGAGCTTATTACTGTAGAACTATAAGAGTGACGTGTCTTCCACATAATTACAGAGCCTTACATTTTAAAATAAATACTCCCTTAGTAGAATTAGGAATATAAGTTACGAGCTGTTGCCCGCGACTTCGTCCGCGTGGTATTAGAAGATATACGAACTATATAAATTACTAAAAGCTACGTATCCCTCGGGAACCGGACACTTCCCGGAGATGAAGCTTATCCCATGTGTACTCCAGGCTTTGTTTTATATCTGTACCAAATTTCAATAAGATATGTTGAACCGTTGCAGAATGATAGAGTAAACATTAAAAACTAAATTAATGGTTTCCACGGGAACCCTAACTATTCCCGGGATAAAAAGTAGCCTATGTGTTCTTCCAGACTATGTTCTAAACCTTTGCCAAATTTCATGGAGATCCGTTCAGCCGTTTAGGCTACAAACGCTAACAAACATCCATCCATCCATCCATCCATCTAAACTTTCGCATTTATAATATTAGTAAAATTAGTAAGATGTAGTGATATTGTCGAATGAACAAAGAGGTGATCTCAACAACACCAGTTCTTAAGAACGTTATAAAATTTCCCCAATGACTCATTTGATATAGTCAATTTTGTCTAGGTTTTATTAACTCGTTAAAAGCGTTCTTATCATAGAAGATAATCGTTAAAGTGTTTACCAATCTTTACAATCTTGGTGTTGCTACCCGGACATTATCTTGTAGGTAAAGAGCCAAAATTAGCTTTATTGTGTTATACATTACACGTGGAGGATTAAATTTGCTTTAATATAAATCATTCAGAAATCTACAAACATGCTCATCTTCTCAAGCGAGTCCTATGCTTACATTTTTTATTTTTTCATAACAGATTTGTGTAAGAATGTGTGATATATGTTGGCGTGTAGGCAGGCGTGGCGTGCGAGGCGCGCGTGTCGGTGTGGCACGACGGGGCCACGCCCGTCTTCCTCGGCGAGGTGCGGCTGCAGCTGCGCCAGCCTGAACCCTCGCCTATGTGCGCCTGGTACATACATCACATTTATTTCTATATTCAACCGACACATACAAAGCAAGTGTACGTCCATTTTGACTGATATTTGTAAGGCTGTTACTGAATTACTCCAAGAACTAGCTAGATTACGGTTATTAATGTTATGGACGTCATTTTGGTTGTACGTTTTACCATATTGCTATCTGTATAGGTAATTTATTTTATTGGTCTATATCGCAAGGCTAGGCATAATAATGTTTTAAATCTGCACCAAGTGCTAGAGTCACGGTATAGAATGTTATATGTGTATTTAAAATATATCAAAATAAATTAAAACTTTATTTCTATTTGTACGGCGCTCTACTTTCTAGAGCGGCTAATAATTGCATTTACCGAGATAACGATATAAACCACAAGGCTTTTACAAATACCATACTAGTAGTTACGTTAGAAGTCAAAGGGACAAAATTTGCGCGTAATTCAGTTGGATATTATGGTATTATCGCTTTTATGAATTTTGTATTAAAAATCGATAGATTTAGCTGTTTTTTAAACTAAGTTAAACTTTTAATAGATGTTACACATCTTTATATGCATTAGTAAGGTCATCTTACTTAGATGTGGTAATTTGCAGGTTCTTCCTGACGTCGCGTGCGGGCGGGGCGCTGTCGCGCGGCGCCACGCCCCCCGGCACGCGGCTGTCGGCGGCGGGCAGCGCCACGCTGGGCTCGCTGCGGCTGCTGCTGCAGTACACCGTCGACCATGTCTTCCCCATACACCACTACCGTCAACTGGAGGAACTCTTCCTAAGGAGTGTGCACCAGAAGGTATATTCTTATAGATAGTGAACAATTTTTCTTTCACTTTAACTTCTTTGAAAGGTACTGTGTTGTCAAGTTTGGTACGCCACCGTATGTCCTTGTTTGATACGTTATAAAACATTTAACAACAATATAATAAGCTCCATCTTTTGTTATAATATAAATTAAAAAGTAAATACAGGTCTACCTATAATTATAAATTAGAGGTAGAAAGAGATGGATGGATTGTGTAAAAGGTGACATGATCAAAAAGGGAGTGATGACTGAGATGACGTATAGAGTTATGTGGAGGACAAAAACCTGTTGCGTCGACCCTACGGGAGTAGGATAAGGAGATGATGATGATGATAAATTAAAAAGTGTTACAAAAAAATATAAACATTTTTATACAGCTAATTGACACGTATTGCAATTCATTTATATTACATTATAATTTAATACAATTAATTATTTTGACAATCTATTAATTGATAGTGTTACTGAGGATCATGTGAAAAATATTTCAAATGAAGTGTCAATAATATAATCAAAAATGATTTAATTATATTATTAACAATGATACCGATGTATTTAAAGTTTGTTAGATACTTTTGTCATTTGTGTTTTTAAATTAAATACCATTTGGATTGTTATTTTTCAGCCAATAACAGCGTCCGCCGTGTACATCTTAGGAGAGATAGTATCGAGTAAGACGGACGCCGCGCAGCCGCTGGTGAGGCTGTTCACACACCACGATCTCATTGTACCCATCGTTAAGGAGCTCGCGGATGCTGAGATTTCTGTACTCACGTGAGTGTATAATACTATTTATCTTGTATACTAAACACTCAATATCTTTCCTCTAGCCAGCGTTTACTTTTTTTATTCCTGTTTAAATAAGTTGCATTTGTTCTATGCTAATATCATAAAGAGGAAAGATTTGTATTTTTGTATGTATTGAAATAACTGTAAAACTACTAGATCGAAATAAAAAATTTTCATCATTAAAAAAATACGTCATCACTGATTGTATTGTTAAGATTTTTTTTTTATTCACGCGGACGAAGTCGCGAGCAAAAGCTAGTTTAAAATAAATGAATGAATTAAGATAGTTTCGATATGTTAGAGTTGTATTTTGTGTCAGTATTAAGACAGTAACAGTGAAATTGCGGAGGCCTGTACCCAACAGGGGGCGTGACATTCCATACTTGTATGTGTAAAATATGTAATGTTTATGTAAATTTGTCATGTAAATAAAAATAAATAAATTGAGACAGTGGTGTTACGATTGCAGCGACGCGACGACGATATTCCGCGGCAACACGCTGGTGTCGAAGATGATGGACGAGGCGATGCGGCTGAGCGGCGCGTCGTACCTGCGCGCG